CCAGCTATTCCTAGTCCTCATTGTATGAGTAGTTGATCATTCAAAAAAATAAGATTATTTCTGTGACAATCAATGCTGAAACTTACAGTCGATTCAGTAATAACTTGGCTTAAAAAACAGTAGCATTTGAAATGTGTTGCCTATAAACCAAAGTGTAAACTGGACACTACTAGAGCAGAAGGACTATTTGTAGATAATTATATGTTGACTATAAGATGACGAAGTTCATCGATACTAGTAGATGGGTCATTTAAGTGAAAAGACTTTTAAGTTTCTCTGCACTGAAAAATTGACGAAACTAGAATTCCAGGACTGTGCAACTCACTTGTTAGTGTTCTTGTTATCTGGGAACAACTCATGAATGGGGTCTCTGTCTCTTCTCTCTTGTCTCCATTCTGTTCCTACTGAGGACAGGCAGAACTTGCTATTGGCTACCAGCCCAAATGTAAGAATCAGGAGATATAGAAGAGGCTTTTGTGACTTTTTTTGCCTATGAATTCTTTATGATTTTTGGTCAGCTCAGACCCTTTGATTTCAACATTTTAAAAATAGCAGTAATTGTATCTGTAGGTATGGATATGGATGGTAGCACAATTTTAAGAATATTTGGAAATACGTTAACAACCATATTTTAGATGCACTTGTTTTCCTGTCTAGCTCTTCTTGTTGGATTTTCCAGTTGTTTCTTTGTGATTTTGAAGGATTTTGTAGGATTCATGACATCCAGGGTTTTCCAAATGTTTAACTAAATCCGAACTTAGATTTTTGGATCTGTGACTTTTTAGAAAGAAAGCTCTTGGAGAATGGTAAAAAGGGTGACATTGCTAAAGATGCAACGCATCGCATTCATAAACTGCTTTGTCAATGGCAACTCCTTTGTACAACTACTTAAAGGTAATAAAAAATATTTTTTAAAAAGAGGAAGTTCTCCAAAGTTTGCACGGTAGGTAATTAGTCTATTAACCCTCTACTTCTTTTGGTGTTGTAGTTTTAAGAATGTCTAGCTAGTACTTGGGCTTATTTTTCTTACTGAGAATGGGTACTCTCCCTCCCCTATCCCCGCCCCCCACCCCATTAGTCTTCCTGGTAATGAAATGCTATTGAAAGGGAATGGCTCTGGCAGCACTGCCCCCTACCCCAGCCCCCTTGACTTGGATCATCTTCAATCCCACAGAACTTCCAGGCTCTTCTGAATCGTGGAAGCAGGTATCATGATGGGGTCAACCTTTCTGAATCCTCCCTTCATCATACCATCAAATCCTTTTGTTTATTAATTTTTTTAAGTGGAATGATTTCCAGAAAATAAATCATTTGTTTTAAAGCTTGGCAGCTTTTTATCTTTTTCATGTTTCTTCACATTCACTAGGTTTCTATAGGTTCATCTAATAACTTCCCACAAACACTTGTCTTTGAGAATCTTCCCTGCTAGTCTTCCTTCACATTTTTTTTCTTAAGATATACTTTTTTTTTGACTTATCAAAATCCTCACTTCCTTGGAGAAAGTGTCTAGAGTGACAAGAGCATGCCTGATTTTAGATCTCAATACTTTTACACTTACTTTAACAACTTGCTGTGAAGACCCAAGCAATTGCTCACTGTTTTCTTAGTCACAAATGAGAATAAATAAATGGTATTTCACCACAGATTCCTAGCTATGTCAAAAGTTGTTTCTGGATATTTTTCATACATGTGTTCATTATTATTTCCGTAGGTTGATTCTCTTCTAATTTTTATTTTAATAGATTTTTCCTCATTCATGCAAATAACTAGTATAAGTCTGAGACAAGCAGAAATGGTCAGATAAGTTGCTGTTAGGTGAAATGAACCACAAGATAAGGACTCAAATGATTTTCTTTCTTGCTATTGTATCTAACATATTTATAAGATGATTTCTTTGTTGCTTTTTTATGTCCCTCCCCCATGGTATAACCCTTGTTTTCATTGTATTTGATGTTGGTATAATTTGTGGAGGGGAAGGGAAAAAACAAATTGTGTAAATAGGGATACATGTGGACCCATTGCAACAATGAGATGTACAAGAGGTTATGTTGAAAATGAACTCTTCAACTTTGGTGGGGGGGGGCAGGGATGGCAAAGTGTGGGGGAGATGGGAAGGGATGGGAAAGGGAAACAAAGGAGGAGGCAACAATGCTTGATAAGATATGTATTCATTACCTTGCTCATGTAATTGTAACCCCTCTGTATGGTATTTTCATGATAAAAATAAAGAAAAAAAAGAAATTGATGGAGACAATGAAATGTTAAAAATATAAAAGAAACCACATAGTTTATTTGTATTATAAGCCTAATTATTGATTCATACAACATGTATTTAACATCTCTTCAAATGTCAGCTATTGGTGTTAAGCTAAGCTTTGGCCTTTTATTACCCAAGGAATTTGGAATTGGGAATAAAAGCTAAAATTATAAGGGAGAGACTTAAATATAGTTCAAATCCTAAAGTCTTATTAAAGCTCATTAACACATTTGTTTGCTTTTGGAACATCTGGAAAAACAACCACATACTAAATCTTTCAAAATGATTTATTTAAACATTCACAGAAGATTCAGGTGTGTAATTTTAATTGCACAATTAATTAATTATTGGTGAAGTCCTTTTATTTCTTCTTAGCAATCAACACAATAAAACTGTAGTATAAATTATAGTAGGAAAATAAAGTTAATAAATGTAATTGAAACTTTCACATTTATTCTTAAAGCATATTTAAACAATTGATTTTTAATGATAACTAGATAATTTTTCCCTTTTTGCTTTTCCCTCTCTCTATTTTCCCCTCCCTTTGTCTCACTCTTCCATTTTTCTTCTTTTCTCCCTTCTTCCTCCCACTATTCCTTCTTTCCTCCCTCCTTCCATTTATATAAACAAAGCACAATAAAAACAATAGTGTTATATGGAAAGACTTGATCTAAGTGTGTTTAAGTTTTAAGGGATAAAAGCAAAGAATCGGAGAAATGACTAATCTTAGGTTTGCCTGTACATTAATTAGCTAAATCAGAAAAATGATTAAATTATAGATTATGATACATATGTTTATATATACCTGTACGTGTATATATGCACATATGGCACATTCATGCTCAAAGAAGGGTTAATTAGTGTGATATTTTGCTGACAGAAATATAATTCTCATTCATTCTTTCTTTTTTTATCATCTCCTTTAACTTATACTTATTTATTTGTTTTTATTGTGAAAATACCATACAGAGGGGTTACAATTACATGGGCAAGGTAATGAGTACATTTCTTATCAAGCATTGTTGCCTCCTCCTTTGTTTCCCCTTCCCATCCCTTCCCATCTCCCCCTACCCTGTATCCCACCCCACCCCCCAGCTTTGGATTAGCTATTTTCTTCTGATTCTTGCCAGACTTTGAATTTATTAATTAAATGTTGATTTAATAAAAAATGTGAGTTTGGTGTCCTTACAATCATCCTAGTAGTAAATGTAAGCACCTAAAAAGAACAATTTCAACTTTACATGCAGCCATCTCCCAGTGTGACTGATACCCAGACTGTATTCCATGAATCTGTCCTTTGAATAAAGACTTCAAATTTTTTGGTAAAACATAAGTATCCTTTCTGGAAAAGCATATCAGAAAAATTTATCTGTTAACAATTTAATTAGGCTTGCTTGCCAGATTTTTGGCTGATGGCACACCTTTCTGCAGAAGTAAATTTTGACTTGCTAAGACAATAATAATAATAATAACAACAACAACAATAACTCCAAATAATGTAATTAATATGGTTCTCTACCAGTAAAAGAGCCAGATACAGATCCACTAAGTGTGAGATGACAGGAGGTTAGAACATGGGGTGGAAAGGTGGAGGGCTCTGTGTATCTTTGTAGAAGGCTTCTGACAGGGTGGACTCCAGAGACATACCTCACCCTTCCCAATGTAGACTAACATAATTCTGAACAGAATAAACACATTCATATAAGTATGACTGGAGGAAGTAAGTTATTTTCAGTAAGAGTTTTGTAACTGTGCAATTTCCCCTCCCTTGGAGACTGGCTGCATAAAATGAACAGTTACTACAATTTCTGAAGCTGTTTTCTCATCTACCAGATGTATACAGTAGTATCTGTTTTGCTAGGCTGCTATTATGATTAACAGGAGTAAGTGTATAAAGCACTTAGCATAGTACCTGGCCTATCTCCTCTAAGCATAATAAGCTATATATCCACATTGTTGCCTAATTTGACTCATAATATGCTTTCAATTGCATGTTACATAAAAATCTGATTGAGGCTTAACTATAAAGACTTAAACCATAAAGGGACTTATTGGTTTACATAAGTAGAAGGGACAATCAGGCAGGCCTTAGCATTGGTTTGCTTTTATGGTTTAATAATACAATGTTACCAAGGATCAATCACCTTCCTTCTCTCCTTCTTTTCTTCATTTCTGGTATTCACTTTATCCCCAGTCTGGTGTCCCTTTGTCTTTAGATGATGCCTATGACCACTTGTTAGATATACATATTCCTGCCTCTAAAAGTTGTCACAAAACACCTCTAGAAGGTTTCCCAAAAGAGTGAGAAGTTTCAGGCACTAGTGACTCATGCCTGTAATCTTAGCTACTCAGGAGGCTGAGGCCTAAGAATTGTGATACAAAGGTATTCTTCGCAGAAACGTTTGTAAGAATCTTATCTCCCATTAACTGGCAAACAGCCAGCATAGAGGCATGGCTCAAGTGGAAGTATGTCTCCTGTAAGCAAGAAAGCCAAGTGGAAGCTCAAAGTCCTGAGTCTGAGCCCTGGTCCTGACACAAAAACAAAACAAAATAACAGTACCAACGAGAGATATAACAATGTGAGATGTAAACTTCATTAGGTGCTACTCACAGCTTTTCCATCCCAGCTGTACCTATATCTGACCTTGAGGCTGTGACCAGGTGAAAGAATTTCGATTTTGGTTTAGTCATTGGTGAATTTGAGCATTCAAAGTCTAACATGATATTATCTCTCAAAATATAGAAACTGCCAAGAAGGACATGGATCTCCAAGAAAAGAAGCTTGGATTATGAGAAGACCATCATGATATCAATTGCAGTGTCAGTAACATATTTATCATGCAAGATTGTTATACAGATGAACTGAAAGGAGATAATTAAAAGTCTTTTCTAAGTGTCTGTACACTTTATGGACAGGGATGGGAGGTAAAAATGGTGAGAGAGTGAGGGAAGGGAAGACATTGTCCAAAATGAAATACACTCTTTATCTGACTTACCTGACTGTGACCCCTTTGGACATCACCTTTATAATAACAATAATCATTTTTAAGTGTATTTTAAAAAGGGGCTGTCCAGGTGCTAGTGATTACTATGCTCCTCCTTGTCCCTGCCATCTTCCTACCCAACCTCTGCCATCTCACTGTCTTACAGGAGATGATTTTGGTGCTGAAAGAAAAACAATCCCAGAGTTTGCAGCCAGCCATGACCAGGAGCAGCAAGGCTGAGCAAGCAGGAAAGGCATAAGCTGGAGTTTACCAGTTTGTTCCTATTACTTGATGAGTATTTGGTTTATTTATTTTCATTTTTAAAATGAACATAGGGTCACCTAGGGGATCGAACTCACAACCTAATTCAAGTGGTAAGCAAGTGTTCTACTCCTGGAGCCATACCAAAGTGTTATTTTAGTGTTTTCCATACAAGGTCTGGAATTTTTGCCCAGGCCAGTCTTGGATACAGATTCTCCTACCACTACCTCTTGAGAAGCTGGGTCAGCAGCTATGCGTCATCTAATGGCCCTTGGTGAACAATTTAATTGTATATAATTGGACCCAGTGTTCTTGGATTCCCAATGCAACTATGAAAAAGAGATTCTAAATCTTTACTATATCCTCACTTATTCAGAAGAGATGAAAAGTCTTAATTCCATTTCAATTCTTTATTTGTTCAAGGAAAGTTATTGAAGATCAATATTTCAGGCCCTGGGCAGGGTACTCAGAGTAATTAATCAATTCACTGGATTAGAATGGGCACACTAAGCAAAGCTTACAAACTAACTAGTGTCCACAGTAACTCATGCTCATATTGAATGAAAGGTGTTGGTGAACAGAATGCCCCCTCCATGGTCTTCCAAAGGCCACTTTCCCATGTTTCATTGTTATCATATAATCAAAGTGCATACCTCTCCCCTAGAGTTTTTATATTCCTATACACACATTCTGGACATGTTTTCAGTGACCAATAGTAGCAAGATGAGGGCATTTTCTAAGAGTTTCATCTAACCTTTTATACTGAGTCTATAAGTTTGATCTTTGTCTTCTCCAGGCATCTGTAAAGACAGAACCAAGAGTGATCCCTAGAGACAAGAAAGACATCTTTGCCTGCCACTGATGTCTCATGGCTGTAACATTAGCTCTTCTGGAGATTGAGATCTAAGGATCACAATTTAAAGCCAACTCAGGAGGAATGTCTGTGAGACTCCAATTAATCAGCAAAATCAAGAAATGGATGTGTGGCTCAAGTGGAATAGTAAAGTATCTAAGTGATAGTGTCCAGGCTGTGAGTTTAAGTCCCAATAAACAGAGAGAGAGAAAGAGAGAGAAAGAGAGAGAGAGAGAGAGAGAGAGAGAGAGAGACAGAGACAGAGACACAGAAAGAGACAGAGACAGAGAGAGACAGAGACAGAGACAGAGAGACAAAGAGAAACATCTTTTTAATCATTGTGGATGAGAACTGGTGAAGAGCAACAGATCATGAACCATCTTCGGATGTCCTTTAATAAAAAAGGCAATGATAAATATGCAGTGACTTCCTTCCCTCACCAGACCTCCTCCACACGCCTTTCCCCCACTATTAAGGAGGTTGAATGCAAATAATTCAGATCTGAGAAAAAGGAACCTCTTGTTAGAACACAGGCATCATTGACAATTAGCCAGGATTCTGTGGGGAAAAAAAAGGGAGGCCTGGGCAAGGTAAATGCATTTGTGTTTATATAGCATGTGATGTGTTTTGAAGTTACCCCTAAGGAGGGAGGCCCTCTCTCTTACTTCAAAAGCCATTTTCATGTTTTTGAAATTACCAGAAATTATGGGCTAAACCCCCTTCACACGTAATTTATCTCACCCAGTATCTCATATTTTGTGATAACATGCAAATACCATATGTTGCACTTTCTCTTTATGGATGGAGGAGGAAAGGGAGGAGAACTGGCAGAATTATCACTAGACACTGTAAAAACTTCCATTGAAACCCACATTTACCATGGTGACATTTACTAGTTATGGCAGAGCTGATCAACTGCAGATTTTCCTGCTGCTGAGGCTAAATTGCAAGCTGCCCATAATGCCATCAGATGCTGCTAGGGTTTCAGCCAATGAGAACTTAGGGAGTGATTTCCTCCCCCTCCCCCCTGTTTCTTATTGCAGTAGAACCTCTGTACCACCCTGTGTGCAAGGTCTGCAGGCACTCTACCCAGCTGGGACACAACTGATCTCCCTCTTAGCACGTTCCCAGAATCTCTCATCATCATAGGGGTTCCAATCCCTCAAATCAGAATTCCTGGTGTATTCCCAAGACCTTCATTTTTGTTTTTCCCTCCCAGATATTTATTTGCTGACATAATGAAATGGTCAATATTGAAGTGTATATATTATTCCTATGATGGTAAGAGGAAAAACATACCCACACCTTGTATTCTGGTATTCTATTTCATCCAAGGCAAAATGTTTTATTCCAGGCCAAGTGAATCAAAAACACAAAGTTATTATTCAACTCATAGCCACTTCAATCATTTCTGTACCAACAATGGTGAAAAGATGTGATTTTACAAGCAAACAGGAAGAAAAAGCTTGAAGCCACCCTGGGAACGTGCTTAAGAAGTTGATTTATGTTTCATGCTGAGGCTTACACCTGCAGTTCAAGCAAAACCCAACTTGGCTGCCCCACAGAGTCTGGTTTATTAGGTATCAAGGAGTCGCAAGAAGCCATGTAATTAAAACCGTAATTAACTGGAAAAGGAAAGTGCCACCTGAGTTTTGAGAGGCTGTCAATTTTATTTCCATTACGGCTCTCCTTCTGGTTCTCCTCTTGACTTTTTATTTTCCTTTGCTTGATAAAAAAAAACCCAATATACCCATACACATTACACACACATTCAGGTTCCCCCCCCCCATAATGAAGCATGTATTAGTGGCCACTTCTTAAGGAGAAGATGGCAAGAGTTGCTACCTGCTGCCGTTATTATTATTATGTTTTAAATATCATCTTGATCTTAGGAGAAGCATTCCACAAGTGCTTGCTGGCCTATGTAGTGGTTGCTGGTCACATGTTGCTGACAAGCATTGGAGCTGCAGCTAGTCTGTGCTGAGCTATGTACTAACTGTCAAATATGCACCTTATTTTGAAGATGTGATTGGAAAGGAAAGATGGCTTAAAAATCTCAGTAGTAGTTTTGATGATGGTTTCTTTGCAAGTGGTATCACATGGATACTTTAGTCTGTGATGTATATTAAAATATATATGCATATATGTTAAATGGGTAGCTATTAGAGCATTTAGAAACATACATGTAGTTCTCATGATATTATCATGAAGAAATTCTGGCTGGGGCGTGGGGTACTCTGTTTCCTGCTGAATTGTGAAATTTCTTTTCTTATCCTTTCTGCCATCCCAAGAGCAGTGGGGTCCAGCCCTCATGGAGAAATTGGAGCCTGTGGTGGCAGTTCACCAGGGTGCTGGAACCAGTTATTAAGGCACATGTTTGCGATTGCTGGATTGTTCAACTCAATTTCTCAATAAAGGACTCAAAGGGAGATGTCTGAGCCACACAACTGGAGCTTCAAGGGTCCTTTCTTCTCTGACTGCCCCTTGGCCAAGCAAGGTTCAAATGTATCATGAAATATGTTAGCACCAGCTTGAGGAGAGCTACACACTTCTAGCGAAGGTACTGAAAGCAAGTTCAAAACTAACACGTGTGTCTTAATTTGTGAATTAAAGTGCTGATAAAACAATCTTTTGAGCAAGTTCAACCCATTTACATTTGATTCTGTAAACATCCATCTTGAATTATTACACCAACTATTGGAACCATATCCTTTGAGGTTATAAAAAGGATTTGTAAGAAAGGCAGAGTTATAGAGTAGTTTTGAAGGTAGTTAGGAATGAAGACTTTAGGCACTTTATATCTGAAAAGGGAATGATATTTTCTCTCTCTCTCTCTTTCTTTCTTCCTTCCTTCCTTCTTTCCTTCCTCTCTCTCTCTTTCTTTTTTAAAAGAAACCTTGTCCTTTTAAAGAATTGTTTTGGTGGGATTGGGTGGCAGAATTATATCCCTTGAACACATTTTAACAAGGAAATGTACCATTTTGTTTTTTCTACTAATATCATAAGACAAACCTAGCAACAATTAATGTTACTCCAAGGAATTTAAGAGATGGAGAGCATCTCTTTTGGGGGGGGGGCAAAGGGAGAAAATCACATTTTTTTCTCACCTAAGTTGTTTCTACCGTGGAAACATTTTAAACTTGCATTAAAAAAAAACCCAACAAAGTGAGGGGCTCTGATATCTTTTAGTTCAGAAGAGAAATATGTCGGTGAATAATTTTGGGAAGTGAGCCTGAGGTGCCCGAAGCGGATGACACACGGGGCTTCGGTCCTGATTCAGCTATAAGTCAGCGGGGCACTCCGGACCATCTGCGATCTATAAATTACAGTAACGCCGGCACATGCGGCTTGTAAATCACCCACGAACAGGCTTCACCTTGTGACACACGACATGAACCCTGTTGTATATTCCAATAAACTCCCATAAACCATCTGATATAAACTCCGGATTATGTTTCTTTCGGGGTTGGAATACTTACACGTTTCTTTACTTCCCATTTGAAGTGAATACACCCAGTAATTCTCTTCCCTTTGGCCTGCACTAGGCATTTTGTTATTTTTCAAGTGCAGAATTTGCCTTCGCGGCTGACATGTGCAATTTGGTGAACTTTAAAGGGCCAATCTTTTATTTTATTTTATTTTTTCGCCTTTCACCTTCTTTAATAAACTTGTTTCTTTCAACACGACGGTGAATGTCAAAGTCCTGTGGTTACTCCACATGGAAAGTACCATTTATAAACAGCAAATTAATAGACAAATTGTCA